TGCAGTGGTGATATTGTAACCTCCCAGGATTCGGGCGGATTCGGGCTTTGCTCGTGTACATTGCTATTTGGCATTTTTAATGAGAATTTTATATCGTTGGAAAAAAAAAAACTTGAGGAAAAAATTAAGGAGATGAATTTCAATTGATTTGAAATTCTTAAACCATTATGAATTTCGTACAAATTAAAACCGAATAAATCAAAATTTATTATGATTTGGTAATTTCCAAGAGGTTTGTTAATTTAATGTGGCCTAATATTCTTCATCTATGGAATGATTTTCTTTATCCGTCCAAGAATAAAAGCATGTGATTATATTTTTTTGGAATTCAATTTGAACAAAATCATTCATATTAGGAAGGGATTTTGAATTAAGTCCGATTTACGGCGACCAAAATGAGACATTTCAAATTCAAAGGCAAAATTTTCCGATCGTTTTAATCTCACAATCAGATTTTTAGAATCAAATATGAGGGATTTTGAATTTAAGATTATGAGCTATTAATTGCCGCCAATAGCGCTTCCCTTGCATGCAAGGCGGCTAATAAAAGCGCTAGGTAGACGCGCCGGAGATTATAGATAGGCCTCAAGAAACCGCTAGCTCCTTTGGCTCGTATCGAACTCCAACTAAAACGGATACTGACGAAGGCAGAGAACTTTATTCAAATGATCGAAATTTTCAGAACTTAATGGAACCAAATCCACCAATTTTGGTATCATTTAATGCTTTTTGAATTTTTTGTAAAAAATAAAAAATAAAAAAGTTACTAAGAGTGACAAGTAATAAATGTTGACCGAAATTTGACCAGCCATTTCTAAAAAATGATATATATATATATATATATATATGTCTATATATTTATATACAGGAGTTTGTTCAAATAAAAACTACTCCTGTTTTAATAACTGTGAGAACCATTTTTGATGTTATTTTTAATATATATATATATATATATATATATATATATATATACTAGTACAATGCCCGTGTATTACACGGATGCTTGCTAATTTTTTCTTAAAATCTAAAATTAATGAGAAAAAGTAGTTGAAAATTTAAATATCTTCTATAAAAATATAAATATTATTATATATTTAGTATGGCACTTTTTATTTCTGCAACTTACATGTTATATTATAATAATTTTTTAAACTTACAACATATAACTACATTAAACATAAATATATCAATTGAGAAATAATTTTATTTTTCTAATGTATTTTAATAAATATTATTATTTTTTATTATTATAAAGATAAATATAATTTAATTATTTCATATATACAATATGGATGTCAAATCGAAGATCATCAAAAGATGATTAATTATATATATTATATATGTAAAACCGATAAGAAATACAAAAGTTATCAACTTTTAAAATACATTTACAATTCAATAGTTAATTGAAGGAAACAAATCAAAGTCAGGGATATATTAGTCACTTAGTGCCTCACTATGTAAAATTACAAATAATTAAAGGGTTATATTAGTACAAGTGATATTAAATTACCTAAGTTGGATAAATAATATTTATGGAATGTCCGAATCTAGATTATTAATTATTAATATATCAATATTATTTGTCCAAACCTAAATACGAAGCATGATTCTTCGCCAAGTAGGATTACGAAACACCAGAAGCAGCCACGTAGACTCAGCGCATTCGGAAATTATATATATGGAGGACTTGGAGAGTAAGAT